AAAGAAAGAAAGAAAGAAAGAAAGAAAGAAAGAAAGAAAGAAATAGGAAGGGAGAGAGAAAACTCTGTGCTATTATTTTTAATTGTTCCATTATTTATCATATATTAATATTTTACACTGTCCCTACACCTAGAGTGATTTTACTGCCTTTCTTTTGCCCAGGGCTACCACGTATTTTTCAGGGTTTACATGCATTCAATGTCTATAGTCCAGAGCAAAAATACATGTGTGTTTAACAGAGTTGAAAGGGACTTTGGAGGTCTTCTAGTCCAACCCACTGCTCAGGCAGGAAAACTAAGGATGCCAAACTCTGAGTAGAAGTCCTGGGAAAGGTGTCAGAATTATACTTAGAAGGGACCTTGGGGTGAACCCTACCATTTCAGAGAAATGGCTGTCCAGTCTTTTCTTAAAAATTTCCAGTGATTGAGCACCCAGAACTTCTGGAGACAGGCAGTTCCATTGGTTAATTGTTCTCACTGTTAGGAAGTTTCTCCTTAGTTTTAGGTTGCTTCTCTCTGTTCAGTTTCCATCCATTGCTTCTTGTTTGCCTTCTGGTGCTTTGGAAAATACATTGCCCCCCCCCTTCTTTGTGGCAGTCCCTTAAAAGCCCATTGCCTATCTCTTGGGCAAAACATGTGAGCCATTTCCTCCTTTCAGTGGTCCATGAAAGTACATCTATAGTATGCAGATAATAAAGTCAAAAAAAGGTGAACAACATTTTTACATAACTATAGATACGTTGAGGCTGGGTGTGACAAGGAATGGCTGGGAGGGGAGGGGCCAGGCAAGGCACCCCTTGATGTGAGTGACATTGATTTGGCCATGCCCACCCAGTCACATGCCCACCAAACCATGCCTACCAAGTCACATGACCACCAAGCACACCCACCCAGTCACATGACCATCAAGCCATGCCCACAGAACTGGTAGTAAAAAAAAATTGAATCCCACCACTGGCTAACCTTTCACCATTTCACCATCACTGTATAAATATCCAGGGCACACAGAACAATTTTATATTTCTCTGCTTTTGACAATATGCAATGTTGCCAATCCTGGGCAGGACTTTATCATTTTTAATAGGTCTAATTAAGAAAAGATCTTGGTAACAAATAACAGACTGATTCAGTCTTTATATGTTACTAATAGTTTAAAAACAATGGAATGTGCAGTACTGCTTAAATTGTTAGTTAAGAGTGTTTTATATTGCAATAGATTTAGCCATATATATTTTTATTTCTTGTATTTGTTTAATATCCCCCATGTTTTTAGACTTTGTGTAGCTTTTTAAAATGTATTGTTCTGTTTTTCTAATTATGTGTAATTTTTGTTTTAATATTTTTAGCTTTTACAAAAATTATTGTTTGTATCCCACCCTCCTTATGACCATAATAAAGATTTGATTAGAACCTGTAATTTTCTTCTGAGACTATTATTTTTAGTAGCTCTTATCAAGGGAAGCTTTTGGTAATGAACAACAGAGTGATTCGGCCATTATAGCCTAATCATAGTTTAAAAACAATGGAATGAGCATTTTGTCTAATGCTATGGTATGAACTGGACTTGCCTACTAAATTTGTTGAGAAACCCCAATCCCCTCTTGAAATCTTCCTGATCCAAATGATGACTAGACCACACCATCTTAAACGATTTTTCCCATTTGTAGAGTTCCTCAGTTTCACAATGGCAAAGGGCCAATAGCAATGCATTCCATGTTCAGTTCTGAGTATATATATATATATATATATATATATATATATATATAATCAGCCCTGAGTATATGCCCAGCTTCATGCCTCACAGTGATAACTCGTTACAAGCTTATGGCTGCCATTAAGGGCATGAGGGGGTGGGATTCTACCGGTTGGGATTCTACCGGTTCTGACTGGTTCTATAGAACCCCTTGTTAACTTTCTAAGCAGTTCGGAGAACCGGTAGTTATAAGAAATCTCCTTTTGTTTTTTTATCACCCTTATTACATTCTTGGCAGTATACCTAGACTTACTGTCTCCGAACCAGGTTACTTTTTTTTGATACTTTCTTAAAAGGGAAGGGTTGTTTTAAGCTTTTTACACTGCTGTTGGGAGGAAATACTCCCCTAGAAATATTTTTTCTTGGCTAGCTAGAAAGATTGACATTCAAATGTGAGTTTACATACCCTTTCTGAGTTTTGGTCTAAAACTGGTTTTTGATGAAGTTTAATTCTGTGCTTGGTGACAGTTAATCCTGTGTTTATTGATGGGATAATTTTCCCTATTCAGCTTTGTTTGGAAGGAAAAAGATTAATCTCTGTTCCTGAAAAGAAACTGATTTGAAAAATCTGGCTAGTTCTTGTGTCTATTTGTTCTGGTAATTGGTTTAACAAGCAACAACTACTGTTGTGGTTTAATTATTTGTATTGTGTTTGAATTCTTTCCTGCCTCATGGTTTTTTTTCTATCTGGGGAGGGGGTCTTCCTTCACTGCTTTAGTGGAATCTGGCACTATCCTTTTGGGGTGTACTTCCAAGAGGCAGGATGCAAGCTTGGCATTGATTTTTTTTACTGCCTTTCTGGGGGGCATATGACCTTTCTGGATTATTTCCTCTTGTGAGATGAGTGAGACCAGCTGGTATCTTTAAGTGGTGCAAATGGACCTAAAGATTGCTTTTCCTAGGTGTGCTCTTTCTTGAGAACTTAAAGGATCTCTCTGCTAAAGGGTTTCACTTTATGAGCAAGAGTTGGCTGCTGATAGTTATCATTGCATTTTAACTATTTTAATTCCTCAAGTTGCTCTGGAAACCTGCCTGACTTGTAACTCTGGCTTGCAGGTATTTTTAATCTAATGATTGGTATTTAGGGCAGTTTTTTGCAAGCAAAGAAGCTTTTTGTATTTTCGTACAGGTAATCCTTGACTTACAACAATTCATTTAGTAGCCTTTCAAAGTTACAATGGCACTGAAAAAATGACTTATGGCACTGACTTATGACCGTTTTTCACACTTACGACCATTGCAGCATCCCTACTTGTCATGAGAGGCCAGGTGAGGAGAAGCACCCCTGAGTGATGTCGAGTTAGCCATGCCCACCTTGTCACATGACCACCAAGCCACACCCACCAACTAAGCCACGCCCACAGAACCATTTGTTTAAAAATTTGAATCCCACCCCTGGTCATGACCCATCTAGATTCTTCTCCCAGCATATCCCATTGCCAGCCTCAAGATGGTGCCTAATGCTATTATACTATGAAGTGATACTTGTAATGATCTTAATATGGATAATTGATTTTTTTTGAAAACCCAGAAAAAGTAGGTTAGATGTCACTTACCTCATAGCGATGTCTATGTCGTTCTTCCACAAAAGCTTCATTGCCATAAAGTTTCCCTAAAAAAAAATCACAAGCTTTTAAATATTCTAAATATTTTTAAATATTTTAAATATTCTGCTACTAACATTGTTCGTTTGCATCCTAATAATTTCTAATCAATTTCACGAGAGCTTGAGTATACAAACATTGTTTAGCAATCCAATATGGAAGATTCATATCCTTGAATTTGAGTTCTTTGGGTCCATTCCCCTCTCGCCCTCCAGAGGGAAGGCACAGAACAACTTTGTCAAAGATAAGAAGATACCCCAATTACGAGTCATGAAATGAAGGAAGTATGTGAAAAAGGGTTTCATCAAGAGAGTTGTGCTGAGGAAGATAGAACATTAATTCCAGCTCCAGTAGGTGGATAAAGAGAGACACTTTTCAGGAAGTATTTTGAGGTAGTAAAATGCACATTCTTTATAAAGATGTGAAGGGCAAACTGTACATGATATATTCTATTATAGAATATACAATGTAATAGTGCAATTGCACAGTTAGTTCTTCCTGACCTAGTGCTAGTCCAGAGGGCAAATCAGATACTTTCATGGCAATATTGATCCATATTCTATCTCTCTGATGAAATCACCATGTGTAAGTGGGTAGCCATATAAATTTGTTTAATATATAAAATAAATCTATATAATTAGTATACTGGTATGGCAGCTTCTAGTATATAGGGAGCTGTAAATGTGATATGGATGTGAAGTCCGATGGGAAAAAAGAACATTCTATAAAAACTTTAGTCAGAGCAGAAAGTAGGAGTCAGGCTCAATAACCACTTCTTTCCACTTAAAGTGATTCTATGCTTAGTTCACCCTTTTTCTAGTATATGGCAGACTCATCCATTAACTGTTGCAAAATAGCTCATATCAGTTCTAATTTTTGCATTTGGTATTTATTTCCCCAACATAGTAGCTACTATAGCAGACATATAAATTATGCAGAAGAGTCCTTCCTCTCTAATTTTTTCTCAAGCTGACTTGAGCATTTGTGCAAGCTCTGCTCTGGAAAAGCAATCCTGATTTATTTATTTTTTATTTATAGAGCTGCCCAACTCTATATGACTATATGACTATAGGTAGCATACAAAGATTAAAACCACCACCATCACAACATATAAATCATGATGCCTTGGTTCAAACAACAACCCCACCTCCCAACAAAAAGTCACATTACCATCAAAGCTCACCTAATCTCCTGGCCTTGTGTAACTTATATTGGTGCCCCAAGTTGAAGGCATATTGGTGCCATGACATAAACAGTTCATTGTGAGGAGATGTCCTTGGCAAGCTTCATGCCATGGCAACCAATTTGTAAATATAAGCAGGTTGGGCTCCACCTAACAACCCCATTACAAGGTACAAGAATTAAGAAAGGTTTCTAAATCAGACTTTTGAAAAGCCAATGAGACTCATCCTAAATCAGGTGAACCAATGAATCATCAGATAAAGATTATTTATTTAGCATGCTGTGCAAATGTAATCCTTATGGTTTCTAAACCACATTTATGGCTTAGTGACTCAGTTAATTATGGTTTCTTCAATAATCATTAAGAATGTTAATAGGTTTGGCATTTGCGAAGTTCATAACTTGAATGATTCATGTTACATTTATTGAACTATAATGTTGGTATTTCTTTGTGAAATCAACTTTCCTGCAAATGTAGTTTTATTCAAGAACAGGAAATATTTGAACAAATATGTAATAAAGCAACAATCATAAAGGACAAACTATGCTTGATTCCTAAAGAACCTAGAAAATGAAGTTTAAAGGAAAAATATAAAGGAGGTCAGTTGAAAAATAAATTAGACTGTAATGTATTTTGGACCACTGGTCTATGCTAGTAAATCTAATTTTTATAACCCATACATTTTTTCTAACTCCTGCTTGGTTCAAACTGTGCAAAGTCCTCATTTTAAGGAGACAATAAAAACAGACATACAGTTCCAAAGAGGTTACAGACTAGCAAATAAATTTTATTCCATTCAAGTTCATGCTAAATGCAAAAGTTGAATAATTGGAGATATGGAATATGTTCTTCACTGGGATTTGCTCTAAAAGGATAATGTGGATTTGAAATTAAAGTCTAATGATGATGTAATAATAATATAACATGACATGGAAAGTTGATTAATATAATTTGAATGTAAATTTAAATCTATGCACAAGAAATATATACCAACCGACACACTGTACAATTGAAAGAAGGTTTTATTTGTTGGTTTATGTTTATGTTTGTTATGTTTCTTGTTAAAAAATAACAAAAAAAAGAATATGTTCTTCACAATGATTTTATACATTTTATAATTATACATTAGTATCCTGTCTAACCTAATGCTTCTGAACAGACTGGGCCTCCTCTTCCAAAATGTTGCAATACATGTATTTTCAATTGCAACAACTACAGAATTATTCAGCTAGTAGAGGGCAGTGTTTAGTTTGCACTGATGGTTTATGGCTCCTTTATGTTCTGAGGAGTTTCCTGTGACAGTTAAAAAGATAGTTAAAAACCATTAAGCAGCAAGACCCATGATGACTGTACACTGTACATTTTATTTCATCTGTATGGCCAGGGGTGGGCTTCAAATTTTTTAACAACAGTGTCAAGCCCAAAATTGACATAAGTGTAGCCATTTTAGTTTGTCTTGGTATATATTCTTTTTCTTATTTTCTCTGTGGTAGTAATGGGAGGAAGGGTTTCGGGCTTGACACATTCCTAAGGGGGGAGGAGTGGAGATAAAGAGAGTGTTATGGCTAGGTGATCTTCTTTCCCGTGGGAAACGAGCTGTCCGTGCTTAGGCCCCTGGAGGTGGAGATTTATGACATCAAGCAACGTTGAATTACTTCTATTGGAGAATGTGACTTTCGGGGGTTGTTTCTAACTTCTAATATTGTGGGGTAATTCCGGGTTGGGTCAGATCTGGAATTACCATGGACTTTGCCAATTTGATGCTTTCCTAAATAAAAGAAATCTTTTTGAAGATGGACTTTGTTATTTTCTTTTAAAATGGATTTCATCACTTGGAACCCTGACAAACAGGTTTTCTGCCCTAATGACTGGCTGGGTGGGTGTGGCTGGGTGGTCATGTGACTAGGTGGTCATGGCTGGGTGGTCATGTGACTGGGTGGGTGTGGCCAAGTTGACATCACTTCTTTGCCTTAATTACCTAAAAAAAGATATACACCAAAATGTTGTTTATTATTTATGACAGTGAGAACACTCAACCAATGGAACAGTTTACCTTTAGAAGTTGTGGGAGCCACTTTTCAAGAAGAGATTGGATCGCCATTTGTCAGAAATGGTGTAGGGTCTCCTGCTTGGGTGGGGGGTTGGACTAGATGACCTACAAGGTCCCTTCCAACTCTGTTATCTGTTAAATCTGACAAAAACTGGTGAAGTAGCTCCCTGCCACTAGGCCTGTAACATCAATTTTTAAAAATGGTTTAGGAAGGGTATTCCAAGCAGGAAAAAGTTACCATTTTGAGTGTAAAATAGGCCTTCGCAAAAGTATTTAAAAGCCCATTATGGTAGCTTTGCAAGGACAAAAGGCTAGCTCAGTCCTTAATGGCCCGTTAACAAAGAGAGAGGGGGCTGTGTTTCTGCCTCTATGTTCTCTTTTAGCGGAAATATTCTGCCTTTGTAATATTTCCCAAAATATTTCATTTTTCTAGGAGAAGCGTGGGTGCTAACTTCCAAAACTACCATAATGGGCTTTTAAATACTTTGAGAAGGCCCATGTTGCAGGCCTTCTTTAAAAAATAATAATCAATTTTTAAGAATGGTTTAAGCATGGAATTTCAACCAGGACAAATCTGCTATTTTGAGTGTAACATGGGCCTTTTCAAAGTATTTAAGTATCCTGTCCTATATTTCCCTGTTTTTTAGCTCAGCTGACTTGCAGATTGCTGTGCCTCAGCTGTTTTACTCACCAGCGCTGACATAGAAAGTAAGTTTTTAAGCTTAAAATGGGCGGTTTTTAAATGCTATGAGCATGTGAGCACAAAGCGCACGCTCACTGAACCAGTTGTTAAACCGGTTGCAGCCCACCACTCTTTCTCTCCATGTGGATGTAGTACCTACCATTAAGGACTACTTCTTGAGTATAGTTTTTCAGCCAGGTACAAATCCATCTGGTGGTGATGTTGTCTATTCCACATTTTTCTAGCTTACCAAGAAGTAGATTGTAAAATGCCTTACTGAAATCTAAGTATACTACTGTATGTCCACAGCATTTCACTGGGCTACTAATTTAGTGATTTTATCAAAGAATGAAATAAGATTGGTTTGGCATGATCTGTTTTTAACAAACCTGTGCTGGCTATTAATTATAACTTTGTTTGCTTCTAGTTGTTCACAGATCTGTTTTGTTTTTTATTATCTTTTCCACTATGGCTTCTTCTTGAATTTCTTGTTTTTCTATTTCAGTGGTATTCAGTGTTTTGTGAAGAAGCTCACAAAACAAGGCAATGTAGTGATCTTTAAAGTGGACATTTGTATCATCACAAAAGGGGATATCTCATTTGCAAAGGCTAAAATTACAGATAAACTATATCAACTGAACTGCAATCAGGTAGTTAATACTGCCAAGGAGGAAAAACATTCAAACTGCATTCAGACATGGCACAGATAATTTGAACACAGTATTCCTGATAAAGAAATAACTGAGAAAGACTATCCAAATGGGATAAAATAAGAAACCAGGAGAGATAGATAAATGGGTGAATTTGGTGGGAGTCACTTATCTTCCGGAAGCTGAGGGCTGGGAGGGACCAAGTCTGAAATGTCTTGGGATAGGGTTATAGGAAGTTAGCACCCAACCCTGTCCTAGAAAATTGAAATAGCCTAGGAAATATTAAAGAGGCAGAATATTTCCTCTAAAAAGAGTAGAAACTCAAGAAGCAGAAATTGACCTCAAAAGCAGAATCTCACCCCCACCTTTGTTAATGGGTGGGCCAGAATACTTTACATAACAAGGAACTCCAAGTAAAGCTATAGCAATTGCCAAAAGCCCTTTTAAGGGCATAAATCATCCAGCAAGGCTAGACCAAGCCTGGAACTCAGGACAGACTACAGAGTTGCCCCTGGGAGTCTGACAACCAATGGGATACATTTCTTACACAGGAACAGGAAACACTAAGATGGGGCCCAACAAAGGTTATAAAACCCAGGCACTCTCAGCAACTCAGCCCTTTTGGACCTTCTCTTCTCATCCTTTTTATTGATCTCTTCCCTTTCACTCTGGAGCTCCAGGCCATGTGGTCCTGTCCACCATTAAACCTTCCAAGCAGCCTCCATGTTTCCAGTGTCTTTTTCCCCACTTGGAACTGAACCCAGAAGGATATTTCTTTCAACAGGGTATAGTGGTGGGATTCAATTTTTTTTACTACCGATTCTGTGGCTTGGCGTAGTGGGCATGGCAGGGGAAGGATACTGTACAATCTCCAGTCAGAGGTGGTAGTTGCCAGTTCTCCGAACTACTCAACATTTCTGCTACCGGTTCTCTAGAACTGGTCAGAACCCGCTGAATACCACCTCTGGTAGGGTAGGTCTTTAGCTAATGACCAATATAATTTTGTTAACTATGTGAATTGCTGGGATTGGAGTCACTACCCACACAGTCATGTGATATCTCACTTGCTTATGTGCATAATTGTGACTAAAATTCCAGGCCCAATTGTTGTCTTAAATGGAGGACTGTCTTTATAATTATATACTCTAATGATACCTCACCACCAGCTGACAGAAGTTCTCAATGGATTCATATACATTTAAAAAAGAATGGGGGAAGGGCCAAGCCTGGGACAGCCAAAATAAGAAATCTCAAAGTATTTATCCTCTGATGACAACAGTGAAAGAAACCACCCACTCAGGAAGAAGCAGAAGAATTTCAAACTGATGAGTCTCTACCAACTTCTCAACAGGAAGGGTTGAAAATGAGTGACTGTTGTCCAGAACAACTCCTCACATGGTTATAGACTCCAAACAGGGATGTTTAAACTCTGTTGCTGGAAATGAATTTTAATCATGAACCCAATTCTTCTGATGCCACTGATCCTTTCCTTTCATCATTCTGCTTTTGAATAGGAGGGTTGTTTGTCCTTGACCTATTATTTGTTAGAAATTGAAAGAAGCACCTAGTTCCTGCTATGGTACCACTTGCAAGTGAGAGAATCAAAAAGTGAGAGAAATGCTTCATTTTTCCCCTGGAATGATGATAGTGATGGAGGTTCTGCTTCTAACACAGACTCACATCTAATCATTTGAAGAAGGCATCAGCAATAAGTAGTAGTCAGAATCCTAATGTGAAGGACAACTTCATCCTGCAAAATCTCCTAAGGTTTTCTAGTGACTTCTGAAAGCAGAAGTTTAACAGGAGTTATAATTAGGATTTAAGACAAGATATTGAATCTAATTAATATTACTCTTAAAATAGTATATATTTCAACAAGATACTATTATATGGTTTGAACACAAAAGCAAAAGATCCAACCAAAGATGCCGTGACTTACTTAACAAAGAGTCTTCTGTCTTAAAGATAGTTTTTCTTTTCCCTAGTCTCATTGTTCCTCCCATGTTGCCAGGATTATGTTCAGGCATATCAATGACCTTAAGAAAGAAAGAAAGAAAAAACATTTTTGTATAATTTATGCTTCAGACAAACCAAACACATAAAAAATGAAATATGTACCTATAAATCTACCTGTATTTCTATCAAAATACTGCACATAATAAAGCCAGGCTCCACCAGCAACTTATTTATCACTGAAATCAAAATGGTAAACATATTCCTAGAAGAGTTCTAGTAATCAGTCCTAATATTTAATATATAGAAACAATATTTATTCATATTCATACTGGAGTAAGATTTGTTCCAAAGCAGCAGTAAAACATGAAATATTATCCCTGTTATATTTTATTTATTTATTTGATTTACATGGACTCCCATCTCAAATACATGACTCCAAGTGGCTAATATTTCAGAAGACCTGATTGTTTTAATTCTAAGCTAAAGAACACTAAAAGGCAAAGTAAAGTTTGGATTACTGTGATAAAATTCTTTGGATTTAAATGCAGGGTATATAGTTCATATAAAAAAAAACTAAGGTGGATTCACTGCATTAGTGACAGGACTGAATGCTTTCAGATAATATGTGAAAAGATGATCCTCACATCAATAGCTGGTACTATCACACCTTAAATTTCTGTAATTTTCTACATTTATTTAGAGAGCAGAAAAGTTTTTTTTAAAAAACCCGAACACCAAACTTTTGTTCTTCATATTTATGTAACATGTGACAGTTATATTCTTGGCTCCACAAGTTTGATTCAAACATTATACTGAATCATAACTTATTTTGTTCACTTTTAGATTTAAAAAAACCTCCCTTTTTATGACTTGAAGGCAATGGTAAATTACTTCCAAAAATCTTACCAAGAAAACTGCAAGGACCAGTCCAGACAATTGCCTGGAGTCAACACAAAGGCATAGACACTTGATGGATTACAAGTAAACAAACTAAATTATGACCACATTTTGTATGAACTAAATTGGATGGTTACATATGCTTATGCTTTTCAAGTTCACAGATGGATTATGATATAATCAGACTCCTGCTAAATCTGACTGATGGCTAATGAAAGAGAAGGGGAAGCTGGTGAAGAGAACTTGGAAGTAGTTGACATTTGCCATCTAGAATCATCATGTATTTTTTTGTTGCTAAAATTTATGCTTAACCTACTCAATGGCCAATCAGGATTTTGAGAATAGCCCAAACATAATAAACATATGAATGATTACAGTACAATCTAAACATAAAAATACAATTATACATTCCTATCAATAACTACTGAAAGTACGTTAAAATAAGTTAAAATGCTAAAACATAGTAATATTGAAAAGCCCAAGAAAAGGAGAAAGTTTTCAGTATTAAAAAATAATAATCCTTCCTCTTGAGGAAATCTTCTACTGAAAAAGCTCTTTCCTCTGTATGGACGATTGGATGATTACTAGAAGGTGTCTCTAGATACGAATTATAGAGTAAGTGTCCCTCAATATCTTCACAACAGATCTTCTGCTTGAAAAGCATGGTGATTACTATATAAAGCTTTATTTTTTTGAATATTTTTTTATTTTTAGATATACATCAATATCATTATATGAACAGTGAGGCATCTGGGTATCATTCATTTAAATACAAATAATAATAACAATATTAATAATATTTGTTACATTAATCATATTTGTGTAATTATGGTGTTATTATACATATTTGTATTAGAGGGTATTCCTTCATTGTTTAGTTGTTCAGTGTTTTTGTGTGCCATTCCAATAACAATCACAATATTATTTAAATATACATAGTAATACCATCTTTCAACATCTAATCTTTACATCTAGTTATTACTTTTAGTAGATTATATAAAAATATGTATAATAATAATCCTCCTTGATCTTGTTTTTACCTCTATTCTGGCCCTCAATAAAGCCAATTTTATATTAAACAGCATTCCCTTTCTAACCATCATCTCTTGTCTGTTTTAATATTTCAATTCTTATTCATTTTTTGACTTGCCTCCCAAACTCCTCCCTTGGGTCTTTGTCTCTATCTATATCTTTCCTATTTAACCCAAATATTTTTTTCATCTCTACTATCTTTTGCTGTTGTATCTCCACAGGATCTGCCCAAGCCCCTATCTTGTCTTCAAAAATATCTTTCTTTTTATCCAATCCCATTTTTTGATCTTTTAATATATATAGTCCCTGATTTGCTTTATAAGTCTTTATTGTCTTCTCCTTCTTCTCTTCTTGTTTTATGTTTTATCTGTTCTATCTTTTCCTCTGGTCTTTCTATTATCTCCTCTATTTCCTGTGGTTTATTATCTTTATTCATTATCTCTTGTTGAACATTTTCTGATTTCCCCACAATTGCATGCATTAAGTCTTTTATCTCCCTGTGGTTCTTTGTCAGCATATGATAGGTACTTTGGAGCATCAACACCATTTTTTAAAAATCCAGTCACCTCCCCCTGATGCAACATCTTGTCTTATTTTGGTAGGTCCAAATATTGCTCAATAGCCTGTCAATAGTCTCTCACCACCCCAAAATCTCAATTGTCTATGACCTCAGAAAGCCAGCTTAGAAACCGTTTGCTAAATTCTGGTGTTGCTCCTCAGGGGAATGCAATAGTTATGGTTCTTTGTGTCCCACAGTTAGTCAATTAGTCCCTTTTAGGTAATCCAGGAAGATTTCCAAATGTCTCCTTAAGTCTACTCTGTAAATTCAGTCATAGATCCTAGCATTTAAAAGTCGCTTTCTTTAGATGTCTTTCATAATCTCACAATTAAATCTCCAGTAGCCATGAAGTAAACAAATATAGAACAGTAGATAGCACAGCAGTCCTCCAGGTGTTATTTATTTCCACCACCCACCCACCCTTTATCTTATCAGTACTTTCCCAAGGTTGTAGGAGTTTATATTCCATTCACCAGTAGATGGTGCCTTCAGTTTAAATTTCAACATTGCACAAAATCTGGCAAATATTTATTTCAGTTTTTTGCAAATAGTCAATATTCAAACAAATGATTCCAGCATTTTAAAATGCTTTACCAAAATATTGCCATTAAGGTTTAAAATCCAATCTTTCTATATTTTAAAGATTTTGCATTCTTCCTTTAATTCCTTTTTTTTTGGGGGGGGGGGTATATAATTTTTCTCTCTGTAATTATTTGCCACTTTGACAAGCATTTCAAAGAGCCTCTTTTCCAGGGTTAATTTTCTTTGCAGTTAGGTTCTAGGTTTAAAAAAAAAGAATCACCTCTCCCAGTTCCAATCACTGTTTATCTACACCACTCCAGCACATTCTTTGTTTCTTTGGCTGTCCCAGCTTTACAGCAGCCATAATGACTGCCTCTCCTCTTCGCCGTTGGATGGGAGCCTACTTTCTTCATCACCTCTTGGGGGGCCCTCCAACAAGGAGGATTCATTGCAAGTTCGCGGAGCCCCACTCCTCATGTCTGATCTCTCTGTGACGTCAAACCAGAACCTATATTATGCTTTCTTGAAAATGTGCATAGATTAGGACATTATCTGGATTAGATTATCCATAGGAGAATCCCATTAAACTAAGGCATTGTGAAAGAAGCCTGATATGAACCAATTTTAAATTACCAAGAAATGAAACACACATAATGCTCCTGTAATTCCACCATGCTTCCAATATAGCAAGATGAAGGATTGGGTACTGTCTTGATCTAGCCCTCCTTACATGATAGCTTTCCTCCCACCTTGGTTTTAAACCTGACTGAATACATACCTTAATGATAACAAAGACTTAATGATAATTAAGATTTAACAATGCTTGTTTAAGGATGGTGTTGACATAAGGCTGAATATACTCAAGGAGAGTAGGAATTCATGTCATTGTCAGTGGAAGGTGTGAGTTGCAGATGCATCATCTTACAATCTAATCCCAAAATTTAACAAAGGTTATGCAATGAGCTTCAACAGATATCAATAAAGCACCTACACTGTCAGACTGTCTACAACTTGAATTTCTAAATAGAAATTATCCTTGGCTCCATTTGTTGAGAAAGGTAATTTTTACTATGCAGTGCTACAATACTCTTTGATTTATTAGAGATCAAAGAATATTGTAGGACTGCATAGTAAAAATTGAGAATTGTGTACCAACATCCCTAAATTCTATTCCCCCCTTAACAGTCTCTCATTGTCTACCCCAGTGTAACCAAACAAGTCCACACAAAGTGTTTTCATAATGGTCAGTTCAAACACAGTTTGATATGCAGTTCTCTCCTTCTTCTAGCTGGATGAGCTTGAGTAACCATACAGGGGTAAAGAGAGCAAATGATATTACAAATGTCATGATAAAGTAATGTAAATAATGTGATTGATATAATTGGCATCATTTATTCAATGTCATGGGACCATTGTCATTTTTAATGGTTACCCATGCTCTTTTGCTTTTTCTTCATTTGGATAAAACAGGAGGCAATATCAGGTTCTGAGAAAAGCAGAACTAAACATGAAACCTACGTAAAAGTCCTGCAGTATTTTTATCCTTGAGTGCATATAATGAAACCTCAGTGTAGACTAGTAATGGATATGTTCATTTTCACTGTTTTCTTGTGATAACAAAGAAACATCTTTACCAACTTGATAATTTAAGGACAAAGTAGGGAACCATTCAAGTCTCTGCTTTGCTTGAATATTTAAATATATTAAAATTATTATAAATAATAAGTTTTAAATCTTCGTTGGTATATATTTTTATTATTTACATATATAGATAACGAACACAATGTGACCATACTGGCATTTCTTCTGCCATACATACTGAAGTAAAAAAACAGATAACATACATGCTATTTATACAGTACTAGTTTTGTACAGTTATTTTTGACTAATGTACTCTTATCCTCGTTATTTTATGTTCCGATTCCTACCTCTCAATTCCAACCATTTGTAAAATCTATTCTATGTATCATAGTATTCTGTCTCCCTTTTATTTTTTAGTTCTAGTCTATCCAATTCTGCGCAAACCCATATTTTCTTTATTATCTCCCTTTCTGAAGATATATTTTCGCT